AAAGAAAGAAATCCTTTATCTTACTTACTATAAATAAACATAAAATGATATTTTGATATAAAAGAAAGATCAAGAGTAAACAGAAACCCAAATAATAAATAGAACATAGATAATACTTAAGATATAGCACATAAAAACAGATCGCATGGGGCCACTTTCTCATTACTTCTAAACATGTTTATATATAAATGCCAAAAGGCCCAGCAAAGAATAAACTGCTCAATTCTCATCGTGACAAAGTACAGTTTTTTCTACATTTGAATACTATTAACCTCATTAATAATTTAAATATACTGTAATAACATTGAAAAAATACATATATATACAGTATATGTGTAATACACAATTTTCTTATTCTATCAAATTATTTATAAACATATAAGTCAAGGTTACATGGGGAGAAACAAAGATAATTCAAGTGTTCAAGAGATAATTAACTCTATGTACACTTTTATTGCTTAGAAAACTCCATTTTGCACTCATACAAGTTACTATGCAATTAAAGTTTGGTAATTTATCAGTAAAATCCATCAAGTTTTCGAGGTAATAAATGTGCTCCCCCTTATTTTCCTTAAGAAAAAAATAAAATAAAACCTGTAGTGACGTGTGTAACTATATGGATTTTATTATGCAATTTTTTCGCCTACGTATAAGGAGATTAATATCGAGAATGGGTCCATTCCCGGTAATGTTACATTGTTAAAAATAGAGCAAACAGTATACGTTTTTCTTCGAATTGTTAATCAAAGTCTAACGTCTATTATATATAAACGACATTCTTAGACAATCACTATCCATTTTCTACAATGAACTGATACGTCACCATTGTTAACACTGAAACAAATACACTATTTATGACTCATTAACATGTTTTAATCGCTTTTTCTCATTGTTTTTGTTTATATAAAACTCTTTTCTTTATACTTTTATAGGCCAGAGAATGAAACAATATCCAATTTATGTATTAAAAAAATTGTCACCATTTTCTTCCGTACCAAGCTTATTTTCTCACAAAATTGGACCCCCAAAAAAAACCAGTACAGTACGTGCTTTATATAATGAGAGCAATCAAAATCCTTATTATTTTTTTGTTACTTAACCACGTGTTTTGATGATATGCAATTCACAGATGAATCTCGACCACCTTTTTTTTTTTTGTATATCTATGACCTGACCCGACTTATATAATCTGGTTATTTTCAAGGTTATACCGAGTGGAAGCAACCTAGACAATCCAACGAACCCGATCGATTGGCTTCGTAAACGGCCATTTTCGAAATTTCAATCATGGTAATCAATGCCCCGATGTATCTACTTTAATAAAGAATCCTTATATGGTTAAAACGAAGAGGTGGCAAGAGGTGCGACACAAAAATTCCGAAGTGATGAGTGTGTTCGGAGAGAGCAGCAGAACCTTAACGAAAATGTCCGACGGGCGATGCCATTTTAAAAAAGTTAGGTAGATTCTATCGAGGAGAAGAGGAGGTTGAACAGCTGCTTGTTAGCAAAAAAAAATACCCCTCCTCCTGGTATTGTCGTTATGTCAAGGTCACTTCGTATAGGGACTACTGCAAATTCCAACAGAAAAAAAAAAAAAAAAATGTGAATTTGTCGCAATCATTCATTAATCTAATGGATAGATTGATGAAGAAAATGTCCACTTCCCTTAAACTCTATAATTAATTTTCGGTGGGTGGAAGTATAGAAGTTACTTTAATCAATGAGCTCTCGTGATTAAATTAAGGGAGAAGACGGATAAAATGGTTTCTGACATCCCACTTCTAGTGATCTCATCGGTGAAGTGAAAACTATATTTTGTTTACGGTCACTTGCACGACCACAAAATGCCTCTTGCAGTTAATTCGGATGTAATATTTGCTTTATCATCTAAGGTGTTTAATGTTTAAATCTCTTTTATCATTCTGTTTTACGTGTTACTTATACATAAGTTTATTTATCGTGTCAAAAAATGACGAATTTCTTACTTTATAAGGTATTTAAATGATTACCATTGTCGTTTTTAAGAGTGCCAAGGCCCATGCAACCTACTAATGAACTTGGTTTTCAAACCTAATTTATGTTACCACTTCGTAAGTCTGCAACACAATATCAAGACAGAGAAATTCAGTTTATTACATAATATACCAGACTGTGTCCTTCAGGTCATATGTGGGTTTTAATGTGGTCTGTTAATTGTAAATTATTATAACTGTATCATGAATTCTGAGTTAAAATTTAAGCACTTATGCAATCTACAATACAAGATGTCTTATCAGATCCTACTAACATGAGATGTGACCTTCTGATTAAAAGAGATTCCTCACTTTGAAACTTACTACAACTGTTATATCCAAGAATTTTTTCTTCACTTTAATACCATTTTAGCAAAATTAGAGTTTTTCTAACATAATTTACAGATTTATCTTAATCCTATATATAAGTAGGCTAATAAACCTTTATAAATGACCTTTAAATAACATAGAAACAATCTTATACATTCATTTCTAGAGCTGCTCTGTAAGCAAACTACAATCCAAATCGACAAACAAATGAGTACATAAAGAGGTTATAACACGAATAAAATTATCAGTGCGAAGGCGTATAGATAATCATAGGCTTTCTTCATCTACCAAGAAAGGTACACGTGATCTACCCTAGATTTTACAGCTGAACAGTTCAGAGGTGTGGCACCACAAAACTAGAGAATGAGAAACTCCTCCCTCTAGAAATGGCAGCAGCAAGCTCTTGTAAATCATGCATAGTTTAACACCCATTCCGGTCTACGGCGAAAAATTACAATTAGAAACAATACTTGGGCAGTATCGGAAACGCCTCCCTTTCAGTACAAGTTTAACTCCTTTATCCCCAAATTAACGCTCACCCTTTTCTAGAAAAAATATACCGAATATATTTTTAATATTTTTTCTAACAGTTCACTTAACCACAAAATTCCAACTCTAACAGAAATTCAATTAAAACCATTTCTGTTCGGAAACCGAGTCAAGCGTGAGGTTCTGGATAAACGGTTAGATGAGCGCCCGATTTTAAAACAACTTCCTCAATGCGAAGAAGAAAACGAAATTAATCATAAGAATACTTCCTTTGTCTGATTAATAATTAAAAAAAAAAAAGTTTTAAACGAACTGAATTGCCGCCATTAACGCTCTATAACTTACGCACCGCACCCAAAGGTCAAAAGGATCCAAGAATACAGATTCACCACAGCAACGAGCGGGAATGTTGTAAAAAAAAAAAAAAAATCCGGATGTTAAACGATAAACAAACAAAAAAAAGAGTACATTTTTCTCCAATTTAAACACACAGAGAGGCTCAAAAGTCAGTCAACCGAGTTTAAGTAGAATTGCGTTAATTGGTGAATATGATTAAGTGTTTTTGAATGAGAGCTAGTTAACCGACTTTTAGGCCACCCTTTATATATATATATATATATATATATAATTTTTTTCTAAAGTTCAGAAGCAAACTCACAACCGAATCGGGGTGGAGTTTGCTGACATACGATTCAGGCGTGTCGAGGTTTTTTTTTTTTTATTATTATTGCATTATTATTCTTTTAGTTAGGCGTTTTACTAAACACTAGAAACGAACTGTCAAGGTGTGCTAAATGCTACCGTTTCGCTAATAAAACGTTATTATTATTATTTTTTTTTTTTTTTAAGTATTCATTTTAATCTACCACAAAGCTTGACGTGAACATTTTCTGGCCGTTGTGAAGTAAAGAAACTTTTTCCCGTCACGAATCCTATAAAAAAAAAGAACACACACACACACTAACTCACGAATTATCGTCTCTTCGTGAACAAAGGAAACTTCTCACCATTTTGATTAGTGAATTTACTTTAAAAATCACACCTCTAACAGACCAATTGTTAAAGATGCTATACGTTGGTGTTGGTGCTGGAGAAAGATTAATTAAACTCGGTCAATGGATACAAATGGTACAATAGTAAGTAGTGTTTGTTGGAGTCATTTTCTGCTGTTATCCGTGAGACAGAATACATCTGTAATGTGTACAGTAATGGAAAAGTTTGGTTTTCGTTGTGATATTCTAAGCGAACATTTAAACAATTGTATAGTGTGTGTGTAACGCTATATACAGAAGTAATACTAAAAGACGTTACATCTGTAATTATCGAAGCAAAATTTGTGTGTTTTTTTTTTAACTGTTTAAAAGTACAGTACTTGTACAATATGTACAAATATTTTCAATTCTTCTTAATAAATAGTCACGTACACATTAAAAGTCTGCTTAATTAATTCCGAAACTGTTTGAAGAGCATACACTGATTCGTAGTTTTCTGCATAATTTGAACACTTAAGCATACAGTTTTTAACTGTATAACAGTATTTTTGGTGTTACGTATAGAAAAAAAAAAAAAATAAGCTGCTGTTAGTTTTAGGTTGGATTCTTAACGAAGATTCTAATGTATATCACTTTAATTCTATTGTGTTAATATACTTTGCACCCCGTATTTAATGTTCAATACATTAAACGGGAAGATTCGAGCGAATCACATACCAGAATACCTATTAAAGTGCATTCTTCGACCATACCCGGACTTCATATTCTGATATAAGACATTAATAAAAATCGTTTTAATTTCGTGCGTGGAGCGAGAAAGCCATTTTTCACGACCTATTTCATCAGAACAAATTCCTCCTTTTAAAAAAAGGAAATATATTTATTATTAAATTTTCGTAGATTAGAAGAAAATCACGAAATAGAAATTTCATGACACGGATCGACTGATAAAGTCACTTAGAAAATCTTATCTCTTAACCTAAACTGAACTAAATGAGATTAGAGAGAGAGAGGAGGAAGACAGACAAACAGACCACCCTTATCAGACAATGCAATTTGTACAATTCTTTCTAATTAAAGTCGATTTTTATCAATATCCTGGTTTCGTCGCGTTGTAAGACGGATACGAAGATAAAGAGGAAGAGAAAGAGCGGGGGGGATAAAGAATGGTACTTACTTTTTTGTTCCTAGTGTTGAGCAGTGAACCCCTGCCGATTTTGATATTTTCTCCCTCGAAACAGATACCGGATATTATAGGTAGATCGGCACCAATCCCGGAATCGTCGTCTTCGTAGCTATCGTCTAACAGGATGCCGTTAACGTTGCCATTAACGGCAGGTAGACCATCTTTTCCTATCCTGGGTGGAGATCCGGATCTCTTCTTCCTCAATACTCGCGCCGGTTTACATCCGAATGGTGTAGGATTGAGTCCTATGTTTGGTTTAACGTCTTTACCACGAAAATCGAAGACGACAGACGTCGACGAGGGTGGAGGTTTCTGCCACAGAGTCTGTCTATTACCTAAAAGGGTGCTGGGTTTCAGGACATCCTCCTGATCTTCGGTTTCTGGAGATTTGGGTGAAACGATCGCTGGCGAGGTAGGAGACGGTTGAGGTTGTGGTACAATTTTGGTATTTTCGACTACGACTATTTTAAGGCCCGTATTTTGGTTGTTGGCCACCACCTTGTCTACGGGCGAAGAACACTTGACTCGATCTTCGACTTCGCCGTTTTCGACGATATTCTGTTCGATTTCTCCGTTCATTACACCATCTTCCACTTCTTTGGCACTGTTTTTGGCTGGTTGATATTGATATCCATTGAGAACGGCTGGTACAGTTCGACCAGGCCTTTTACTACCCGACGTGGTTCTGTGTTTTGGACCGGTTGTCTTATTAACAGCCGTGGCGGCCTTGGTACTAGCCCGTACGACCGGGGGTGGTTTTCTTCTAACGTTGTGACCTACCTTGTTATCCGATGGTTCGAACATACGCTTGTAAGTTTTAACTGTATCTGGCTTGGGTAGCTCTTCCTCGTTAATGGAATTGGAAGACGACAACTGTCGAACTGGTTTCATGTACTTGCCTCCGACGTCCATATCTCTTGTGTTGTTGCTATTTTCTACAATGATCAAATTCTCGTTGACCAGTACCGATTCTGGTAGGTGTCCCGCGATGGATGAGGGACGTTGTCCCTTGCCCGTTTTCCCAACTTCACACTGTTGACGTTCGTGTTCTGTGAAAAGCGTTTCCATACTTTTGGCTCTTTTGAAATTCGTGTTGCGGATTGCGTATCTTCCTTTCGTCCTACTTATCGATACATTCGATCTATCTTTGTTATTATAGTCGATGAAGCGCATACGGCTTTCCTTTTCTACCAAATTCTCTAAACTAGAATAACGTCTCATGCCCAGCCCATTATCCACGACAGTCGGCGATTTGGCGCTCTCTTTCAATGTCATGTTTATGAAACGCGATTTCAGTTTGTTAACGATACCTGGGCCGTACTGCAGGTCGCGATCGTCGTAATCGTCCTGTCCCGGATGAGCCGGTATTCTCTCCACTCCGTCGTTCCTATCCAAATTCGCTAAATTCTTATCCTCTCCCATCTTTTGCCAGTTGTAAGAGCGACGAGAACGATGGCCACCGCTTCCACCACAACCACCACTCAATAACGCTAAATCGCTGGTGTTCGACTTGGCCTCGCCGGCATCGTTTTGATTCACAGGGCAACTTCTCAAGGTCTTCAGTTCTTCGTGATGTCTTTCCGAATGACTCGAGGGGGGATCGTCACACGTGGCGGGGTAAACACCCTTGAAACCGGCTTTATCGCCAACCAGAGGTGGAGCGACGTTTCTTAACGCTTCGATGCCTACGTTCGTCTTATTGGTGGCCTCGCCGCATTTTTCCGCTCTCTTCTTCATAATCAACAACTTCTTCCATTCTGGGATATTCGGATCGTCGATTAATTCGCGATCGACGTTGCCGCTACGTCCCCTATCAACGGGCATGGCCGACTCGATGCCTTCACCCCACAACTGCAGATCGAAACTGCTCCTCCCTATACGTAACCACGGTAGCTTAATGCCAATTCCGATAACGATTCTACACCATTCTCGCCTCTTCCATATTGTAACACGCCGAATTTCTCTTCAATTAACTATTTGCTTTTACTATAACAGCCAATAGCTTATTTATAAACGTTTAATTCTTCTCAGCAAGACGGATCACTCGCCGATTCGCTCTCCTACTCTTCCATTCTCAACAACACATTCAGCGCACTCTACTTCCCTCCTCTTGCGATCGTTCCTCGTCGATTTATCTTTAATTTTCAAAAAAAAAAAAAACTACCACCACTTCATGCTTTACCCGTAACTTTCCTTATCGAATTATAAAGGATATTATTGTAATTGGACAAAGGAATGTCATATCTCCTCCGCCTCTGACATCACCTCCGGACATTACCGTCCTTTACTCCATCTGGTGGTCGAAATCGTACATATATATTAATTCGTTTAATTAATTTATTTTTTAAAAATTATTTCGAGTTTTTTAATTATTAAATCGAATAGTTTTAATTATNAACATAAGTTTAAAATAATAAGTCATTTAAAACATGCAATAATTATTTAAAATGTAATATTTAACAATAATTTATCACAGAATTATGTTTAATATGATAGAAATTTAAGAAAGATCTTTAAATATATTTCTTAACTATTTCCAATACATTTATCCAATGATAGTATTCCAATACCATTACCACAGAAACAAATTTTGCATTAGATATACTTATTAACAAAAATAAACAGATTAATTGAATCAAATTCAATTTTTTTTTTCTAATATTTATAATCAACTAACATATTTCAATATTAAAAGAATGGGACATTACCAATATATATATAGAGCGTCCGTGAAAGATGTAACCCATCGTTGATAGATTCTATAAACAGTTCTAAATCAATAATTTAAACTAATACTTTCTCTTATTTGCATTTGGAGAAACTTTACAACTGAAATTACTGTACTAAATATATTATAGATACCATAAACACAACATCACTATATATATTATAATGTAAGGAGAATAAACAAAAAAATCATTTAGATTTGGAGTATAATTTAGAAATTTTAAAGAGAAAGTATATTGTCTATTTACATACAAAACGAAACTTACTTAGATGACAACCTACATGAACTAAAACTGAATTAATATAAGATTCTTTCTACCATCTTCAGACATTGAAAAAGATAGAAAGATATCTTACATTAATTCAGTTTTAATTCTTGCAGATCTAAGCAAATTTTATTTTGTTATAGGCAGATATTACCAGAAATGTAGAACAAGGGGTAGAAAGATGAAATATCTGAGATGCTAAATGAGAAAGAACACACAAATTCTTCTAATAAAATGTCAATTTTTTTAATTATTTACTATGAAAAGTTAAATATTATGCTTTCTATGTTTACAGATTTATATGCAATCTGAAATTTTTGGAAAGGAAAACCCACATTTATTTATAAATAGTGTGTTAATATTAATACTAAAAAATGTTTTAAAAAATTTACGATTATATATGTGTATATTCTCCGAGATGCCAAATCCACCCTCTCTCTCTGGTTATGATATTCCCTCTAACCATTACAAGAATAGATTGCTGTAATATAAATTAGCAATCATTAGATTACATAGAAAACAATAAAATCTGTTCTTACTACTATTATTTTTAAATACGCAACTTTATCAGATTTTCAACTACTATTCTTCAAAATAATAATGAACCAGAGAAACCTTTTAATGTTCTTGATTTAAAATTATTTATAGAATCTATTCACGAAGTCACAGACAAACTTTACCACATACATATATATTACAGACACTCTATACTTTCTGATCTTTGACAATTACTTGGTTTAGCCTTTGTAAAACAAATACTTTACAAATTTTTCCTCACAATCCAATTCTGCAAGGTACAATCATTCCAAGAAGTATAGATTAACAGAGCCAAATCAATTTTAATTACTTTGTTGAATGTCAAATAATGATAATGACGATAATAATAATAATAATAATAATAAAATATATCTCCGAAAAATATAATTAAATAACTTCACCATTTCTCGATGTTCAATAAAAATGAAAAGAAATTACAATATTTACAAATCTATCTTAAATTTTAAAAAAATAACAAATAACAAGTTGAATGCTTTGGAAAAAAAGCATGAAAATATACAATTTGTACTTGAATCTGGATGATTTTTCCATTTTTGTACAATTTATTCTTGTTGTACAACTTCAAAAAATACAATTACGTCTTTTAAAAACTTCAAACATTATTTCTATTAAGTAATTCGAATAATGTTTAGTCTAATATAATACTTTTACAATATAGAATTAATGATTTTTTTTAGTATTTTGAAAGATTTTATATATATATAGATTTATTTGTATATATAAAGTCCAGGAACTTCCAAGTGTAGTACTACTATAAAAAATTTTGATTCTTATCTATCTTTCATAGTTGATGATAATGTTGATATGAAGTTAATCTAAAATGTAATTAATGTTTATGAAATAAAAAATATATATTTAAAGTATTTTACCTCTGTAAATATAATTAAACATCTTTAATCTTTAAATGGAGTTTAAAATATCTTTAATATTAGTATTCTGTACTAAATATCCAATACATATTTAGCCATGATGTTACTTAAACAAGGATTTTTTTGTTTATAAATTAAAGTTCTAGTGCTTTGAAATAATCATCAAGGCATAAAGAGCAATATTTTGGGACTAGGGCGGTGTTTTCCAACTTATTTTAATCGCAGAATTCTTTTCACATCAATAAGAAGTTTTGAAACCCCGATAACTTTTACTGATTATAAAAACACACACAAAAAAAGCTTAACAACAGGAAATTGTATATTAATTCAAACTGATAATTAATATGTAGGATTAATTTTCACAGATGATTTCGTCACCAGATGAGAGCTAAATTAGTAATGGAATAATCAAATGCATTCAATTTCTTTAAGTGTCGTAAATGAACATTGAAGTATACAAATATTGCTATCACCTAGACAACAATTTCTTCAATGCGAACAAATATTTTGTATTTGAATACAAAGAATTGAATACTTGGGAAAGAATCAAATACGTGAAGGGTTCTCTTTTCTAAGAAATATTAATCATATCAATATTAAACGATCTAATATAAATCATATCAAATCAATATTAAACGAGTACTATTAATCTCGAAAACTGATTTCATTGCAGAACCCAAGATTTGTCAGTGAAACCTTACGATTCTGCAAAATACTGTGCAAGTTGGGGCTGGGTCCACTGGACTACAATCTTTGGTCTTTCTATTCCTTCTTCTGATATGATGTTCTTGGTTTATTAAATTTTTTTCCTCCCTTTATGCACTTGAAATTATGTAAATTAATTTTTAGAATAAAAAATTATATAGATTCTGGCCCCAAAACTACAGCCCTAGCTTCCTCTCCCTCTCATCAGCCCTGGCAACCATGTTCTTTGTGTGAAGTGTTCCTAAAATGTATATCACTTGTTTGAAAGCACTAGAATGTTGATTTTTTTAAGGGTTTTAATCTCTGAGAAAGAAGCAAAAATTCTGATTCAAACTGCTTTTCTTAGAGCAAAACCTTTTTAGGAAACAAATGCCTTCAAACTTTACACCCATCATCACGAGCTAACAAAGAAATTAAAGCTTGAGAGGTGATGCCAAATAATAATTAACTTTACTTTCTGTTTATTGTTCTTTAGTTTTCTAACTCTTGCTGACAAGCATTAGCCCAAAAAATACTTAAGTTTTCACTCCAAAAAAAGCAATTTGAATTGGAATGTAAAAATTTTAGAAAACTCATACTTTAGAGGAAATATAACCAAATGTAATCCAGTAATAGTTTGGCTTTAACTATGAACTTTCTTAGTCTTTAATCCTCATATTAACTTTTGAGCTTTACATAAATTATCATAAGTACTCAAGTTTTCTACATTCTGCAAAAGCAGTTTGAATTGGATTTGCATTTGAGAAACTTCCTTAGCAAGTGTGAAGTAAAAACAAAAATTAGATATATTCATTACAGTTCATAATAATACAAATTCTTTGTATTTCTGTTGAATATAAGAGGCATATTAAATCCTTCAATATTGAGATATAACAGCATAAAATACTCTATTTGTGAAATGTATTCTATTAAACAAAGATTTAAAATGAGATAAAAATACTATATGTTACTTAAATCTGAAATATATTTATATTATTCTTTTGCAATATTAAATAATGACATATTTGTACTTCAATAGTTGTAAGAGATCTCTCCATTTCTATAGTTTTTAAATATTACTATTTAGTTATTTAATAACAACTTCAGAATAAGATGGTTATTATTTTCTCCTAAATACTGTTTAAAATGTAGAATAATCTCTATAGAATAAGTTTGATTTATATTTTTCTGTATTAAGTCACATTTTGATGCAAACTCATAATTCAATATTTGACAGTATCAAACCTCATTGTCAGAATGCTTTATTTAATTATTCGTTATGTAATATATTATATTGTTAGATGTGTTTATGGAGGTTATGTTTAACTGATTTATGTTATTCAATTTTTGTAGAATGTATTTATATAAGAAACAAAAAAAAACTCTTCATAATCTAGCAATAATTTTATAAAAATTTTAACTGCCAAGACATGGGCACACTTTGCAATGTCTACAAGATTTGTACTTGAATAGTTTTGAATTTTTCATTTTAATAATTTTCACATTTATGTTAATTAGTGTGTTTAAAAATCATTTTGAAAACAGGTGCAGGCTGTGTATTCTAACAAATTTTGCAAATTTTACACAGAAAATTTTACAGTACTGATTATGTTATGTTAACAGTTAATATTTATTATTATTGTTTGTTTGGTATCTAGTAGAATTCATTATTGTTTTGGTGATTGAATAGAATAGCCAATTTTTTACTAGATTTGTCACAATGGTTAGACATAGAAAACAACTCTTACACCTTATAATATCCTTTATTGAAATCGAAATGCATTTCAGACTTAAGAGGGACTAAAAAGGTCTAAAATGCATTTCAACTTCAATAATGGATATTACAGAGTAAGAGTTCTGTGTCTAATCACTCTGACACATCTAGTAAAAAAAACTGTATAGAATAGCCAATCACCAAAATGATAAAGTTAATATTTAGCTTCGTTCTATCACATGCTTACATTCCACAGCTTTTCCATTTTAAATAATTTATGTTCTAGAACAGGTATTCTTCTATGTGGTCATCAAGCTAATTCTGCAAGATTCTCAAATCCAGGGAAATGATTCTGTAATTTTTCACTCATTAAATATCTTTCAGATTACAGTTTTTAATCATCTGCATCTTGTATAATAAAAATCCTAA